AGGATCGTTTGGAAAATCGCGGACCGCTTAGTCGTTAGTGTATCGCAAGGGGTACAACCTCAGCTACTAACATTGTACACAAGCGACCGCTGCGGACGGTTAATTTACGATGGTAGTTTCGTACTGCAGTTAGACTTTGGAAAACCGAGATATGCAGGCGTTTCCTGGATTTTTCAGAGGAGGTACTGCGATCCCCCCCGCGCCCTTAAACGGGCCGGTGCTACCTTGCATTATGTGCTTCTATCTCTCATCACCGGGTCAAGCGGCGTTTAATCTCGGAAATCCGGCCCGTTATCTTGCTAATCAATCTCTCTTAAACCGAAGCCGCTACTGCTGTTCGCTGAGCCCAAACAAATCGCCAAGAACAACAACACCATGCAACAAGCAATCTGCAGCTGCCGCAAAGGTTCTCTTCTGGCCTGAGTGATGACAACGAAAATAGTTGCTTACTGCTCGGCACACGCGCGCGTGTGCCGTCGTGTTTCCTCGCAATCCTCCTCACCCCCTGCCTGCCGACCACCGCCCCTGAATTTCGCTCTGCTGCTGCTGCTAAAAACATAGCGAGTGCTCTTAAGCGTTAGTTGCTGCAATGTCCGGGGCTCCCACCCCAAACTCTTGTGTTCGGGAAGCGCCACGTTTTCCACAAAATGCTCCGCAACAGAACAGGTGGCGGCTCATTCTTTTTCGTCGGTCGTCGGCAAACGACCCGGCAAATGTTTCGCCGACTAACGTAAGCTTTGCACCTCTTCGCGCGCGTCATATTGGAGTATTTGTATGCATCCCCCCAGAGCAAAAAACAAAAAAGCAAAACAAACATAAATAAACACCCCCCGTACACTATTGGTGGTCCACGTACAGTTCGGTCGCGTCTAAGCTTCGAGGTGAGGCAATGGGCTACTGGGCTACTTTGCGGTCCCATACGCACCTGTCAAATCATTGAAAAACGCCTCCATGGATGACATTGCGGTCATTTTCTTGGTGTTGGACATGGCGAGGCCGATCAGTGGCTGCTGCCGCTGCCGCCGCTGCTGCTGCTGCTGCTGCTGCTGCTGCTAGCAGCAGCACCTTTGCTTAACTCTGGAGCAAGCGAGCACAAGCAGAGAAGAGTAGCACCGGCATCAGCAGCGGCGACAGCAGCAACAACACTTCCTGCAGCGGAAGCAAAAACCGTGTGCGCTGGACTGCCTACGCAAAGAATCAAGACCACTCAGGGGGCACGCAGACCCTAACCCTCACCTAACCCCAATTTAACCAGTTCTATACTTTATCCAGCATGTGTGCTTGCTTAGAAGACCTGCGTGGACTACTTGTGCGCTCGGCAAGACCTCTAGAGGGCCAAGAGCGACAGAGATGGGACGGTAGTCTCCTTTCTCGACCATCATCCTCTTGCGTGCAGAGACACACGACAACCCTATTTACAGTGCCCCCCTTGCCCTCTACAACTCGGTTTTTTGCAGCAAATATACATTCACCCCCCCCCCCCAACCCCCCAAAGGGAATGGGGTAAAAGGAGGGAACCCGGGGAAGTCTGGGGAAATTTTTGGCTTTGGGAAGCAACCCAATGGGTGAAACCAATGGGGGCCCCGGCCACCCGAAAAAAAAAAGAACAATCAATTTTTAAAAACCCAAAGGTGAAGGGGGTTCCATTTTTCGGGAAAGAGGAAAAATTCCCCCCAAAAAAAAGAAAGCCTTCCCCCCCCCCCCCGAAAAAAAAAAAAACCCGCCCCCTGGGGGTTCCCAGGGAAAAAAAAAAAGGGAATTCCCGAAAGTTTTACCCAACAAGGGAAGGAAAATCCTCCGGGGAAACAGGATGGCCAAAGAAAGAAATGGCTGGAGGAGGAAGGTACTTTCAATAAAAAAAAAGGGTTTCAAGGCCCTTGGTTTTTCTGGCCTAAAAAACGGTCCGGGTTTTGGCCCGGAAAGGGGAATCCCCC